TGTATGTATAAACATTCTTAATTTAAGATGACAGGCGTAACAGCATACGTGAGAGTCAAACAGAGAAACTGTAAACAAAACGACCATCGGTTTTATTGCTTCGACTTCCGCTTATTATATAAAACATTGGGTTTTATTTTAATTCTTGACGGTGAAATTCACAATTGGTTGATTATAAACATGTCTATTTCACATTCGCGGAACCAAGTGAACGCATAAAACAAATGCAGGTCTGTAATGTTAAAGTCGATGTGAATAAGCGTGCTGCCCTTATGTTTCAACCCAGTTTTTCCTTTAACAAATTTTGTGTCTACCAAATTTGGTTGGTTGGGGTGTAATACTAATAATAAGTGTTGCCTTTAATTTAATCAATAAAATAAATTGACTTCATTAATTTTTTTGAACCACCTCTTAAGAAAATCTAAAAAATATGAATGGAATGATAAATCACAAGTACAAACTCATCATATTTTTTGCATTTTAGATAGGATTTATTCAGCAAAATTTAAGGGTGACGTCATCAATTTTTTTAGGAGGGATGAACAAATACATTTTGAACAAAAGTTTACCATGCTTATAATAACTTTAAAATATTCCCAAGATTTCAAAGCATTCGGTTTTGTAGTTCCTGATTAAATCAATAAAATAAATTTACGCATTCATTAATTTTTTTGAGTCATCCTGTATATGCAAATCGAAAAAATTTGAATGGAATGATAAATCACAAGAAGAGACTCACCATATTTTGTACATTTTAGATAGGATTTATTCAGCAAAATTTTGTGGTGACGTCATAAATTTTTTAGGGGGGACGACCAAATACGTTTTGATCAAAAATTTACCATGCTTATGATAATTTTAAAATATCTTCAAGATTTCGAAGCATTCGGTTTTGTAGTTCCTGAGTAAATCAGTAAAATAAATTTACGCTTTCATTTATTTTCTTGAATCACCCTGTATATGCAAATCCAAAAAATATGAATGGAGTGATAGATCACAAGTACAGACTGATCATATTTTGTACATTTTAGATATGATTTATTCGGAAAATTTTCGAGCTGACGTCATCAAGTTTTTGGAGGGGATAAGCAAATATATTTTGACTAAACATTTATTATGCTCTTTATAACCTTAAAACATGTGCAAGATGTCAGAGCATTCCGTTTTGTAGTTCCTGATTAAATCAATAAAATATATTTACGCATTCATTAATTTTTTTGAGTCACTCTGTATATGCAAATCCAAAAAATATGAATGGAGTGATAAATGACAAGTACAGGCTCATCATATTTTGTACATTTTAGATATGCTTTATTCGGCAAACTTTCGAGCTGACGTCATCAAGTTTTTGGAGGGGATAAGCAAATATATTTTGACCAAACATTTATTATGCTCTTTATGACCTTAAAACATCTGCAAGATTTCAGAGCATTCGGTTTTGTAGTTCCTGATTAAATCAATAAAATATATTTACGCATTCATTAATTTTTTTGAGTCACCCTGTATATGCAAATCCAAAAAATATGAATGGAGTGATAGATCACAAGTACAGACTCATCATATTTTGTACATTTTAGATATGATTTATTCCACAAACTTTTGAGCTGACGTCATCAAGTTTTTGGAGGGGATAAGCAAATATTTTTTGACTAAAGATTTATGATGCTCTTTATAGCCTTAAAACATCTGCAACATTTCAAAGCATTCTGGTTAGCAGATTAAAAATTAAATTTCAAAATGTTGTTTTATAATTTTGATTTTTTTTCCAAAAATCTGGACGTTTCGGGTGAAAAGTCGATTCAGAGTAGTAAACTACATGTGTAGGACTATGTTATTTTATACAATTGAAAACCCATTTACTATGTACAATTTTGAAGTGACGTCATCGCATTAGTGGTGGGGATGATTAGACAAATTTTGGTTAGCGTTTTACCATCTACATGATATTCTTAATATAAGTACAAAATTTCACAACAATCGGTCGAGTACTTTCGGAGATTATCTGTCTAATAAAAATCCGGGACAACAGACGGACAGACGGACAGACGGACAGACGGACAGACGGACAGACGGACAGACGGACAGACGGACAGACAGACGGAAATGGGAGACCTATTTCTTCGTCTTCTAGGGGTCATGAAAGATCGAGAAAACGTAAAAGTAGAGAGTCGGCCGACGGACTCGATTACAATACTTCCTTTGCTTACGCTCGGGAAGTAAAAATATAGCGTGTTTATGGTCACGGAATAATAATTCCGGTTTCAGAGTCAAATTTTTAAGATTTTCCAAAAATTTCCCTCTTTCAGTTTGGCGATTTTGGACAAATGGCAACCATTTTCGTAGAAATGCAGGGGAAAAAAATTTAGAAGGCGAAATCAACAAAAAAATGTCTTTTGATAATTTTCGAAAGTGCCAGAGAATAGGTCAAAAAACTTAAATATTGGAAAATCGAATAAACTTGTCTAAAAATCTCTGAAAAAATCTAGGATATAAATTTTATTTTAACGATTGCGGAAAATGGTAGGAATTTTTCGAGGAATGAGGCGAATAAATTTTCTAGAATACAGTTTCTTTTGGTAATTTTCAAGGGTTTCATTTGGGGGCGAGTACTAATAATCGACCTTTTGGCGAAATTGCTAAAAATCTACAAAAAATTCTGGGCTACAGATCTCAAAGAGTTGAATCTAAAAATATAGCGTGTTGGCAGTCCTGAAACAAGATCTTCGAAATATTTGGTTTCAAAATTTGATTTTCAAATTATTCCAAAAATTCCTATATTTCAGTTTAGAGGTGCTAAGTGGGTGGAGGTTAAAATAAACAAAATAACATATTTTCTAGGATAAAATATCCCGGGGAGTTGAATTGGAAAACGTTGTGTTTTTATGGTGTCTGTTCAAGTTTTTCGAAATAAATCGGTTTCAAAATTTAATTTTTAATTTTCTAAAAATGGGTATATGTCATACTAACGGTTGTGGAAAATGATGGGATTTTCGAAAAAATGAAGCCGAAAAAACTTGTAGAGGAGCAAATTAATAAAAGATTCTTTTTTGGTAATTTTCGAAGCTGCTTGGGAAAATGTGCAAATTCCCAAATGGGGGGAGAGTATTGAAAAATTTAACTTTTTTCGAAGTTGCCTAAAATTCTCAAAAAATTGTGGATTTCGAAGAGCTGAACTGAAAAGTATGTCGTATTGGTAGCTCTGGAGAAAGATTTTCGAAATATTCGGAATCAAATTGTGATTTTTAAAATATCTCAAAAATTGCTATAATTTATCTTGGCGTTTCTGGAAAAAAAAGTTTTTGAAGAATTTTGTACATTCAAAAATTGAAGTTTTCGCGAACTTGCCTAAAAAATCTAAGATGTAGAACTCGACGAGTTGAATGTGAAAACAACGTCTTCAGACCAAAATTTTTTGAATTTTACTTTTTAAATTTGATTTTTAAATGTCAAAATCTCAAAATTTTATTTGATTGTGGAAAATGGATCGGATTTTTCGAGAAATGACGGCAAAAAAATTTTGTAGAATAAACTCTCTATTGGTAATTTTCGAGAGGGCTCGGAAAAATTGCAAAATTTTCATTTGTAGGGACGAATACTAAACAATTCAACTTTTGGTGAAGTTTCGTATAATCCACAAAAAATTCTTGGATACAAACCTCAAAGAGCTGAATCGAAAAATATATCGTGTCGATAGTCCCGAAATATTCGATTTCAAAGTGTGATTTTTAAAATATCCCAAAATATATTTCAGTTTAGAGGTGCTGAAATTCCAAAAATTGCGATATTCTGGAAAAACGGTTGAAGTATCGATGACACGAGGCCGGAAGTGACTTCTGGAGCTTCTGGATCTACAAGAAAAAGTATTTAGTTAAGTTTCGAAAATAGACGAAAATTAGACAATCTAGGAATTTGGTATTTAAAAATTTCACTTTTGAAGAAGTTGTGTAAAAATTCACAAAAAATTTTGGGAAATATTGAATTTTTATGTTATCAGACAATGTTATGTTTTAAAGTGAAGTTTTTAAAAAATGGGTGATTGTGGAAAAACTGTTGGAGTTATCGAAAAAACGAGGCAGAAGCTCAAAATCTTAAAGAAAATATTTGGTTAAGTTTTGAAAATCGTCGAAAATGAGTCGAAATTTGGAAAAGTGGAGAGTACCTATTAAGAAATTTCACTTTTGAAAAAGTTGTCTAAAAATGTACAAAAAATTATGCGACGTGCTGATTCTAAAAATATAGTATCTTTATGGCCACAGAACAATATTTTCGAAATATTCGGTTTTAGAATAAACTTTTTGCAATTTTTAAAATTTCTAAATTATTCCATTTTTCATATTGGCCATTTTGAACAAATGGTACGTATTTTCGAAGGATTTTGATAATTTTCGAAGAGAAAAGAAATCAAGAAAATAATGTCTTTTGGTAATTTTCGAAGAGAGAAAGTCAAAAATTTTAAATATTGAAAAATACAGTATTTGGCGAACTTGCCTAACAATCTTAAAAAAATCTAGGATGTAGAGCTGGACGTGCTTAGTCGAAAAACAGCGTTTTGTGGTGTTGGACCAACATTTTTGTATATTGTATAGTATGTAATTTGATTTTTAAAACATTCCAAAAATTCACATGTTGCATGTTCATGATTGTGATGCGAATTTTCGGAGAAATAAAGCCAAAAAAAGCTTGTAGAGGGTCAAAGTAACGAAAGATTCTGTTTTGGTAATTTTCGAATATCCTTGAGAAACAATAAAAAATGTCATTAATTAATGATTAAAAAATGGGCTAAAAAATTGGGCCTTGGGTGTTATGGAAAAAAAAAACTTCTTTGGGCAGGAATAATCAAAGTCGAGACGACTGTTGTCGACATATTCAACTTCAAAACAAGTCTACAAAAAAAAACAAAAGTCGTATTTCATTTTGAAAATGTTGAAAATATGGTTATGATCCTAGACCAAAATTTTCAAAATATTCTTCTAATAATAACCAATTTGACCCCATTTCAGGCGAGCACAACTTCGAGTCCTACCGCAGCTGGTCCCCTCTGACCGAAGAGGGCTACGCCGAGAAGCTGCGCCTCCTCCGCGAGGCCGCCTCCGTGCCCATGGAGCGCTGGAGGGCGCCCACCGTTCTCGCCTGGCTCGAAGTGGCCCTCGGTATGCCCCAGTACGGCGCCCGCTGCGCCGAGAACATCAAAAGCGGCAAGGCAAGTACCACTGTCGAATTTACCCAAAATTTTCGTGGCTTGACTCTTGGGTAAAAACGGTGATTGTATGTATGAATCTTATAGATTGGTCCTTTGCATGGTCAGGTGCTCTTAGAGCTGAGTGATTTGGAGTTGGAATGTGGCTTGGGTATTACGCACCCGATGCACAGGAAAAAGCTGCGTCTGGCCATCGAGGAGCACCGCCAGCCGGCCCTGGTCAGGTACCCGTGCATTGCTCAACTGGGCCACACTTGGGTCGCCAGCGAGTGGCTGCCCGACCTGGGACTGTCACAAGTAAGCTCGAGGATCGGGGATTACAGGAGCTTTAACGTGGATGTTGCAGTACTCGGAGAGCTTCACCGCCAACATGGTGGACGCCAGGATGCTGGAGCACCTCAGCAAGAAGGAGCTGGAGAAGTACCTGGGGGTGACGCGGAAGTTCCACCAGGCGTCGATCGTCCACGGGATCCATTTGCTGCGCATCATGAAGTACGACCGACAGGTAGCTAATCTAGTGCGAAATTTGGGTGTCCTGTACTGTAGCGTGTCTGTTTTGAAGGCACTGGCCGTTCGCCGCCACCAGTGCGAGAACATAGATGCAGATCCCCTGGTCTGGACTAATCAAAGATTTATACGTTGGGCCCGAAGTATTGATCTGACGGAATACGCCGATAACCTAAAGGGTAAAGGTAGTAAAATTTGCAAGCTGCTCACCCCGTCCCTGGTTTTTCAGACAGCGGCGTGCACGGGGGACTAGTGGTTCTAGAACCGTCATTTAACGGTGACACAATGGCGACGGCCCTGGGGATCCCCGCTAGTAAAAATATAATAAGACGTCATTTAAACGCAGAGCTAGAAGCGTTGGTTTTGCCAGCAAGGTACGTCATTTTCTGTCAAATGGAGGAACTCCAAGCGGAAGCTGCAAGAGTTATATCTAAACACGGCAGATAAACAATCATGTTTGATAATAATTATGATAAGTTTCGCCTTTAGTCCAGCGTTCGAAATTATTTAGACTGTTTAGTGGAACGAATTTTGGATTTTGTGGTCTAGGTAATTTTGGCGCGTTACGAAATTATTGTGCATTCATCTTGTGTTATCAATTTAATCAAACTATTTGCCTTTATTGAATCCATAATCAAATTATAATATTTTGTTTATAATAGTTTAAAATAAAGGTTGTGAAATGTGGATTCTTTTGTATGCCATATGAACAGGGGGACATTTTACACGAACATTCTATGTTATGTTGCTTATGCTTTGCACTGCCATCTCTCAATGTTAGAGCACAGAACTGCCCGATCGAGTTAGAAAAGTCATAGTCTGTGTTTCAGATATCGGTGTTTTCAATGTTACACAGTTTCTTGCATGCTCTTTATATGTTAGTTTAGAAATTCAGTCGATGAAGTCCACCTACCGGAAGACGAGTCTCGAACGTTGAGCTTCCGGGATGTGGATTTCTTTCCCGAAAATGTTCTCTAAGGCCAGTTCTCGAGCAGCCACCGGGAAACAAATTATTTCACAGATTTTAGTAAAATATCAAACAATGTTAAAAAAATTAATTTGTTTAAATTAGGTTAAATTATATTTTGTGAAAAATCATTCTACATACATATGCTGCAGCTACTTTGCTTCTACCATTTTCTAATTCTAAATTTCCATTTCTAAATTGCCACACTTTTTGAACATATTGTACCTTATAGCACACACAATGGTGTAATTGATGTTGAAACTCAATTTTTTACATTTCTTATCTGCAAATTTCAATCACTTCAGATTCAAAAAGGCTTAGTGAGGTTCTTTCCAACAATAGTTAAAAAAAATCGGTGTAAAGAATTAATACAGTACTTCCCTCATACTCTGAACGGAGACCTTAGTTATTTTTTTAATTCATTTGTAGACGTCCTTTTTTCTTAAATCAGTAGAACCCAAACAACTTCGCCGAGACACTTTCCTGCAGTTTTCAGGTTCAGTGATTGTTTGAGGGTCAAAACTTTGAAGGAAATATGTCAAAATTTCTTTAACTAAAATAGCTTGGGTATGATTTTTTTCCTTTTCAAAACAACAAAAAATAAAACATCAGTCTAAAGAATTTATGCAATCCTTACTCAGGTCAGGTTTGGTCAGGTCAGGTGAGGTCAGGTCAGCTCAAGTTCGATCAGGTCAAATGTCTCTTTTTCCTTACAATTTTGACAATAAAGCTAAAAAAAGAAGCTTAAAATGCGAGCGCAGCGAGCACGTTCAAGTCTAATTAAAAATATATTTATTGGTGTCCCTGAGAAGCTAAATTATTAAGAACAATTTTGTTGTTATTTGTTATTTTAGAGGTTAAATTTTTCAAAGTAATTTACATCCACAGGGAGATCTCGAGAATTATAATAAAAACTAAAAATTTTGCTGACCCTTCGTTTGTAAATGTTATGTTATGACACTATATTTATGACACTAAATTTATTAAAAAAGAACATCCAGAATGCGAGTGCAGCGAGCACATTTAGGTGTTATTCAAAAACATTCGTCGATTTCCCGAGGAAGCCGATTATTATAAATGAGAGAAGTTTTTAGTGTCCCAAAAAATTACGCTTGAAAATATTTGTAAATACTAAAATTGAAGAGACCCTAGCAACCTGAACGTGCTCGCTGCGCGCGCATTCTAAAAGTTTGTTTTTTTAATTAATAAGTCTAGAGATTTATTATTACAACAAAACCTAGACAAAACAAGAAAGTTTAGATTGCGAGCGCAGCGAGCAAGTTCAGGTTTTATTAAAAAAATTGATCTAAAGTTGTATATAGCTATATTTTGAGAAAAATGGGGTGAACTGTCCTTGATTTAATAAATAAAATAAAGTAGGTCATTCATTAACTTCTTTGAGTCACCTTGTATAAATAATTATTAAAAACTAAACTACGAATGCAACGATAAACCACAAGTATGGAGTCATATTATTTTATTTATTTTACAAAGGATTTATTAGGCAAAATGTTGAGATGACGTCATCAGTATTTGGGAGGGAGTTAACAGATAAATATTAGTTAACGGTTTGTCATGCTTACAATAACCTTAAACCATTTGCAAGATTTCAGACCATTCGGTTTTGCAGTTTCAGAGTTGTATTGCAAAATGTTATTATACAATTTTGATTTTTTTTTCAAAAATGTGGATGTCTCGGGCAAAACTCAACACGGATTCATAAACTACACGTGTAATAGTATGTTATTTTATAAAATTTAAACCACATTTACTATGTACAACTTTAAGGTGACGTCAACATATTGTTGGTGGGGATGATTTAGCAAAATTTTATTTTTTTATAGAAATTTGATAAAAAATATACAGAATGAGGCACTAACGCACATTGTACAGTTGTTTAGTACCGCACATTAAAATGATTTTTAAATATACAGGGTGTTCTATTTTTAACGAGTTACGTACAAGTAGTTTTTATTAAGTGGAATTCTAGGTTGTTTACAAAAAAAAACGAATTTGTGTTTGTTTTTGCTCTACGGGTAGTAATAACGGAAAAAATTGCCCTTTTTGAGGATATTTTAAAACTATTCAAATCAATCCGGTAACACGTATATCGAAAATTTTCTCAAGACCACGAATCTGTGTTGATTGTTGGTCTATTGGGAATAATAATGGAAGAAAACATCCTTTTTTGAAAAAAATTTAAAACTATTGAAATTAGTCCGGAAAGGGGTCTATTTTATTGGAAATTTTCACAAGATCAACAATCTGAATATGTGCTTCAATATCCATTTATTTGTATCTGTTTACTTCCATATCCATCTATATCCGTCAATATCCGTCTGTACCATTCTATGACCTTCTAAATCCTTCTGTCTTTCTGTGTCAATCTATAGCCTTCGGTATCCTTCTATGTCCGTTTATATCCTTCCAAGTCCATCTAAGTATATCCGTCTATATCAGGCTATATCAGTCTATAGTTCTTTATACTTTGCATAACCATCTGAATCCATCAATATCTATCTGTACCATTCTATGTCTTTCTAAATCCATCAATATCTTCTTGTATCAATCTATATTCTTCCGTATCCTTCTATATCCGTTTATATTTCTTCGTATCCATCTATATGCATCTGTATAGGCTATGTATATTAGCCCATATCCATCTACATCTGCCCCTATCAGGCTATATCAGTCTATATTCTCCTATGTCCGTCTATAGTTCGTTATATTCTTGCATAACCGTCTATATTTTTCTCTATATTTCCATATACGTTTTTATCCTACTATATCAGTGTATACCTCTCTGTGTCCGTGTATTTCCTTCTATTCTAAACCGTCTGTATTATATCCATCTGTATCCGACAATATTCGTTTGTACCGCTGTAGGTCCTTCTAAATTCGTTTATATCTTTCTGTATCAGTCTGCATTTTTCTGCATCTGTCTATATCCTTCTATAATCTATCCATATACGTCTATATCAGTCTATATCCATCTATATTTCTTTATATTTTCCGATTACCGTCTATGTCCATTTATAACCTTCTATCCTAATCCGTCTATATCAGTCTATATTTATCTATATTTCTTTATATCTTCCGATTACCGTCTATATCTCTCTGTGTCCGTTTATAACCTTCTACATCCGTCCAACTCCTTCTATATGCATCTATATGTAATCATATCCATCCAAAGTCCTCTAGATATTTCAGTCCATATCCTTCTATATCTTTCTATATCCGTCTGTACCGCTCTATGTCCTTCTAAAATCGTCTAAGTCTCTCTGTATCAGTCTGTATCTTCCTATAAGTTACGGTATCCGTCTATGTCGTTCTATATCTATCCATATCCGTCTATATCAGTCTATATCTGTCTCTATTTCTTTATATCTTCCGATTATCATCTATATCTCTCTCTGTTCGTTTATAATCTTCTATCCTAATCTGTCTACATCCATCTGTATCCGACAGTATCTGTTTATACCGCTCTAGTTCTTCTAAATTTTTTTGTGTCTTTCTGTATCAGTCAGCATCTTTCTGTATCCGTCTATATCCTTCTATAATCTATCCATATCCGTCTATATCAGTCTATATTCATCTGTATTTTTTTATATCTTCCGATTACCGTCTATATCTCCTTAGAATACATCTTTCTATGTCCATTTATAACCTTCTACTTATCCTAATCCGTGTATATCCATCTATATCCGACAATATCCGTTTGTACCGCTCTAGGTCCTTCTAAATTCGTCTTTGTCTTTCTGTATCAGTCTGCATCTTCCTGTAGCCGTCTATATCCTTCTATAATCTGTCCATATCCGTCTATACCTCTCTGTGTCCATTTATAACCTTCTATATCCGTCCGACTCCTTCTATATGCATCTATATGTATATCTAATCGTATCCTTCCAAATCCCTCTAGATATTTCGGTTCATACCCTTCTATATCTTTTTATATCCGTTTGGACCGCTCTATATCTATCTATATTTCTTTATATCTTCCGATTACCGTCTCTCTCTGTGTGTCTGTTTATAGCTTTCGATTTCAATCCGTCTATATCTATCTGTATCTGACAATATCCGTTTGTACCGGTCTGGATCCTTCTAAATTCGTCTATATCTTTCTGTATCAGTCTGCATCTTTCTGTATCCGTCTATATCCTTCTATAATCTATCCATATCTGTCGATATCAGTCTATATCCATCTATATTTCTATATATCTTCTTTATTCCGATTACCGTCTGTCCGTCTGTGTCCGTTTATAGCCGTGTATTCTAATCCCTCTATATCCATCTGTATCCGACAAGATCCGTTTGGACCGCCCTAGATCCTTCTAAATTTGTCTGTGTCTTTCTGTATCAGTCTACATCTTTCTATATCCGTCTAAACCCTTCTATGATCTATCCATATATCAGTCTGCATTCATCTATATTTCTTTATATCGTCTTTTTAAAATCGTCTGTGTCTTTCTCTATCAGTTTATATCTTCCTGTATTCCTCTATATCGTTCTATATCTATCCATATCCGTCTATATCAGTCTATATCCATCTATATTTCTTTATATCTACCTTCTATCTCTCTGTGTCCGTTTATAGCCTTCTATCCTAATCCGTCTATATCCATCTATAGCCGATAATATCCGTTTGTACCTCTCTAGGTCCTTCTAAATTCGTCTGTGTCTTTCTGTATCAGTCTGCATCTTGCTGCATCCGTCTATATCCTTCTATAATCTATCTATATCCGTCTATGTCAGTCTATATTCGTCTATATTTCTTTAGATCTTCCGATTACCGTCTATATCTCTCTGTGTCCGTTTATAACCTTCTATATCAGTCCAACTCCTTCTATATGAATCTATATCTAATCATATCCATCCAAATCCCTCTAGATATTTCGGTCCATATCCTTTTATATCCTTCTATATCCGTCTGTACCGCTCTGTGTGCTTCTAAAATCTTCTATATATTTCTGTATTAGTCTATATCTTTCTGTATCAGTCTATAGCGTTCTATATCTATCCATATCCGTTATAGAGGCAATTCTGAATCAAACTTGTTAAATTTAAAGGGTGTTAAATTACAAATTTCCATAGTAACGAGTTAAATTCGTAAAACTGATTGGCTGTTTATTTTTTAACAACGTCTAAATTTTGTCAGGTTTGATTCAGAATTGTCCCTTATTCGATTAGCGTCTATTATATCTCTCTGTATCCGTTTAGAATCTTCTATATCCGTCCGACGCCTTCTATATCCATCTATATCTAACCATATCCATCTAAATCCTTCTACATATGCTTCTATATCTTTCTATCTCTGTCTGTACCTTTCTATATACGTTTTTATCCTATTATATTCGTCTATATCTTTCTATATCCATTCATATCCAGACAAAGTTTAATTATTGTTACCATCTACACGATATTTATAACACACATACAAAATTTAAGTTTTAGTTTCTAAGATTACCTGTCTAATAAAAAACAAGGCAGACGGCGGACAGACAGACAGACAGACGGAAAGGGAAAACTTGGGTTTTTTTATACCCTGACGATGATGACACGTCTAAAAAACATGAAAATAGCCGTTCGCCCAATGGACTCTATTAACTTAGTTCCTTTGCTTACTCTCGGACGTAAAAATTATTAAAAGACAACTTGAAAATGTTATGAAATACAGGGTGTTCTATTAAAACAATTGAGAAAAATAACTCCATTTTTAAATATGGCGGAGATCAGAATTTTTAGATATGAAAATAGTAATTTATTTCAAAATATCCACCGGAAATCTTTGCGGTTCGTACCATTTTCTCAATATAAAGGGTGTTACTTTGGAAAAATGTACAGATGATGTGTAACTATCATACGAAACACGTCATATTTGACAATAAGTTTAAACTTTAACCCTACTTGTCAGACTCGTCCAAAGAATTTTTGCAATATTTCACGGGGATGAACAATAAAATCTTGCCTTGATACCAAGCATCAGTATCATTCCTAGAAAAAAATATTCACTTATCCAAAAAAAAATGAAGTTTACTTTTAACGAGATGTTGGCCAAACTTGTACTCCCACATGTACAGTAATAACTGACCTTACCTGACCTGACCTAACCTGACTTGACGTGACCTTAATTTTTCCTTAAATCAGCGCGTGTGGTAATGTACTGATGACTATATACTCCATCTATTCGGTAAACGGTGTACAACAGTTGTTGATATATAATGAAATAATTTGTTCCCCACTATGGGTGCCTTCCGGTTCTAGACCTGGCTACCTTTCGACCAATCTAAATGTTTACTGGCCCACTCAATCAAACCAAGGAACTAGTGACACGTAAAACCGATCCTCCCCGGTAACAGTCAACAAACCAACATAGAATGCTTGTGTTTCCCGCACTGCTTATTCATCGTTTTGATTTTGCACTGTTATGCTAGATCCACACTAGAGCACTATGTTCGAGTCAGAGCGAAATCGCGCGTTCTGGGAGGGTCCCTCGGACGCTCCTTTTCCCGATCCTGTGCAGGACTTGTAGGACCTCCGCCCGTCGCTCGCGACCAAATGAGCGCGGAGTCTCGCAGAGCCAGCCTCAGGGTAAGTACTCCACGATTCCCCTCCTAGCATGCCTCCTCCGCATCAACAACAATAATTAATTGACCCGTACTTGCAACGAAGAACGATTACAGAAACAGGGTAAGTGCAGCACTCGCCTTGTAGCCGCCCCGAGCCCCCCCTGACCCACCTCTGCTTTCAGGGCTCCTTGAGTCGCGCTTTGGGCTTGACCAAAAGCAAGTCGGAGAGGGAAAGGGACAAGCAGTCGCCCACTTCTAGCTCGGAGAGCTCTTCGGTCGTCAGCCGCGTGAGTCCGCCCCTGCACTATTTCAGATCGACGAGGTCCGGGGGAGAGTCGCCCATCTACGCCACGCCTTTCGCCAACCACCACGCTTACAACAGGAGGTCGGAGGAGTACGACTCCTACTCGAACAGGAGGTCCATTGACGAGTACGAGATCACGAAGAGCGCGCAGAGTATGAGCTCGGAGACGGTCTCGAAGGGCAAGATCTTCAGCAACTTCATGGGGGGGAGTTTGCATCGCAAGAAGAAGCAGCACAGGCGCGTGAGGAGCATCGGGGACATCGATGTCATCCACGTCGCGCCGGTTTGATTAGGTTTTGCTCAAGTTTTGGATTATGTAGCACTTATTGTTTTCACGTCTTGTACATTTGTGAGGATTTTACTTAAGCCAAAGATAACCAAATATACTGTATGTATTTAGAACAAATGTAAGATAGCCAACCTAGGGATAATTAAGACGGAAGCCGAAAGGTGTATGTTTATAACCTGAAGAACGACCAGAATGAGCGGGACGCATCTATATAAGATTATTATTGTATAAATTGAAGCTGAAAGTGATATTTTGCTGTTCAGATTTTCGATTATTGCGTTGCTGTTAAGATAGCATAGCCATAACACACCACCACTGAGTCAGAACTACTGACCAAACAATAATTTTCACTCTTACGTTACTAGGAAAAGGTGCATAACACTTACTAAACCAAGACTTTTGAATTAGGGATAAATGAATGTGTTATATATAATTTTTTAACTATATTGTTACCATGTACGCTGTTCGTGATTTTCGTGTATTTCGTTATGGTCAAGTATTGTGTGTATAGTGTTTGTTTATTTAATATTTATTTTATTGTATCTATTTATTCCGAAAATAAAAAATATTGAAATAACTACAAGAGAGCAAGGAAGGCTACTTAGTATTTAAATACTGCAAAATTATGTAACAATAAAGTAAACCCAGACGTTATACATTAACCAAAGTGGCGACCCGATCCTTAATCCTTAAGTTATCTGAAGATTTCCATTTTTCTTGTTTAAACAAAAATTAATCACGTTCGACGCCACATTCTCCCTCAGTTTATTAACGATTTTTGTAATTTTGTTTTTATTGCTTATAAATTCGCATTCAAGTTAAGACAAACAGCTTGAATTTGAACAATTATTGAAATAATGTTCACATGGGGGGAGATCAAATTTTCTCTTTAACCTATTTCTTTCAAAACTCCTGAGGTACCTACTTCTGAAATGGGCGGACCCTTTGATCTGAGAGCCCATGACGAAGTGGATGATGCTGTTAATTATGTAACAGCCCTTCCACCGCGAGGATGACTATGTGTTGTAGCTCGTAACGCTGAAAACTGAGGATAGCTCGATCGCCTTAGACAGAGGCATCGATCCCTTGACCGCGATTTCTATGATTTGCACTTGAGAATTTGCGTCCTCAGAACCAATGCAACAGAATTTCATAATAAATCGGTCCAGTGATTTCCAATATTCCTTAGTGTTTTAAAATTATTTGTCCAACTGAAAGGTAGGTGGGAAAAACCTTGAAGAAATAAATAAACCAGAAATCTTTTGGTTCCTAAGGGAGATGTTAAATCGAACTAGGAAATTACTTTTTGAAGAACTATGAAATTTCATGTCTGTTTTTAGCGAGTTTTCCCATTGAAAAATGGATAATACTATTGACAGTGTAAAAAAAAAATCGCTTTAGTAATTCCATATTTTTAAAAACATGAGTTCACTACACTCCAGCGCTCTTATCCTGATGTACAATGTGATGATGCAATATGGATCGTTTTTGCAAAATTGGGATGCCTGGGGTAAACACTCAAGGCGCATTCATAAACCACAAGTACAAGAATACCTACTCTATTTCATAAAATTTTAAAAAGTAATTTTTTCAAGTGATGGTAATTCTGCTCTATTAGTTTAATAGCAATTAAAGTTGGTACAATATTATGTCGACAGAATTTCCCTCGCCCTTGAAGTAAAGGCCAAAAAATCCGGCTTCATCGAAAAAATATAAAATTTTATTTTGTAATAAATATAAAGTAAAAACCAGCGACGTAAATAACAATTCCTAAAAACCAAAAATTCAAAAAATCAAAAAGTTGAGAAAAGTTGAAAAATGAAATCGAAAATTGAAAAGCCCAGAAATAAAAAAAACTGAATTGTAAAAAAAAATGACAAATGTAAAAACTGAAGATTTGAAAAATTGATAACGCGATAAATCAAAAAGGAAACAAATTGCAAATGCGAATATCGAAAAATCGAAAATTCAATGAATTGAATATACGAAAATCATAAAAATTGAAAAACCGAAAATTCATGAACATCTAAAAATCGACAAAGCGAAAAATCAAACCTACAAACATTGAGATTTAAAAAATTGAAAAATCCAAGAATCGAAATATAGAAAATACGATATATGTATTGAAAGTCAAAAAATCGAAAAGCCGAAAAGTGGAAAAATTTAAAATTCGGGAAATCGAAATGTCAAGAAATTTAAAATTGGAGAATTGCATAAAGCGAAAAGTAAAAAATTAAAAATGCGAGTTTTGAAATATGAACTAATCAAAAATCCGAGAAATCTAGAACACGAGAAATCAAAAAATCGAAAAGTACGAGTAGAAAAATTGAAAATTCAAGTAACGAAAATGTGCGAGATCAAAAAACCGAAACGTTTAAGAATGAAAAGTCTAAAAACTGAAGAACGGAAAAACTGAAAATTCAAATAATCAAAAGTCGAAAATTTGAAAAATCGTAGTGTGAAAGTCGGAAAATCAAAAATTCTATATAATCAATCAATCGAAAATTCCATGCATTAAATATTGTAAGAACGAAAATTCCAAAACTGAAGAATCTAAAAATTTCGAAAAATCGAAAAAAAAAATTGACAAATCGATAATTCAAAAAATCAAAAATCGAAACGTAAAAAAATTGAAATTTCGAGTATCGAAAATCGAAAACGCGCGAAATCAAAAAACCGAAATGTAAAAAAAAATGTAAGTCTAAACACTGAAGAATGACAAAAATTTAAAATTTAAAAAATCGAAAGTCGAAAATTTGAAAAATTGAAAACTCGAGAATTTAAAAGGAACCAAATTGAAAATATGGATATCAGAAAATCAAATATACGAAAAAACAAAAATTCGAAAATCGAAAAACTGAAAAGTCAAAAATTATAAAATTGAGATTCAAAAAATCCAAGAATCAAAATATAGAACAAACGATATATCGAAAGTTGAAAATCGAAAATTCTAAAATAGAAAAGTCAAAAAGTGAAAAAATTGAAAATACGAATATCCGTAAATCGAAAATTCCATAAATTAAATGTTGTAACAATCGAAAACTGAAAAATGGGAAAACTGAAAATCGAAAGTTCGCAAATCGGAAAAAATTAAAAATCTGGAAAGTCAAAAATCGAAAATGGAAACCTCGAGAAGCAAAATATTGTAATCCTAATATCCACCAATCGAAAATTCGAAAAATAAAGAATTCAAGACATCAAACACCGAAAAACTGAGGAATTGGGAGATGAAATTGGGAAATGGAAGAAATGGAATTGTGTAGCGGAGCTTTCAAAGCGCTCCGCTAGTACCCTTTCGAGGGCGCTGTCCTCGGCAGCGCCGATATCAACCCCACCAAGCTCACCCCCACTGGAACGCACCCCACCTGAAGTTACTTCATTGTGCAGGTACTCTCACGCATCTCAACCCTGCCTATAAAAGGGCAACTCGGACGCTTTCCAGGCAGATGGAACTCCACCATCTCCACCTTAAGGGCTGCACTGTCTCGGTCCCCTTCTGGTGATCACCAGGGCTGCACTGTGTTACGGTCCCCTGCGCCGCTTCGAGATTATCACCAGGGCTGCACTGTTTACGGTCCCCTGCGCTGCTTCGAGATCTTCACCAGGGCTGCACTGTTTTACGGTCCCCTGCGCCGCTTCGAGATCATCACCAGGGCTGCACTGTTTTACGGTCCCCCTGCGCCGCTTCAACGACGTCATCTCCAGGGTCGCACTCTCTAGGTCCCCTGTGCCGCATCGCCGACGTCGTCATCTCCAGGGTCGCACTCTCTAGGTCCCCTGTGCCGTATCGCCGACGTCGTCATCTCCAGGGTCGCACTCTCTAGGTCCCCTGTGCCGTATCGCCGACGTCGTCATCTCCAGGGTCGCACTCTCTAGGTCCCCTGTGCCGTATCGCCGACGTCGTCATCTCCAGGGTCGCACTCTCTAGGTCCCCTGTGCCGTATCGCCGCCGTCATCCCCTACGACGCTCTGAGTCCCAGGAGCCGCCACCATCCCCGACGAGAATTGCCACCACTTCGATAACCCATACCCATATTTTGCTTTGTATTGTTTGCTTATTATCAATAAACCGCTGAGCTACCACAATTGGAAATTCGAGAAATCGAAAATTAAAAAAAATTAAATCTCACAACTGAAAAATCAAAAAATCAAAAATCGAAATGTAGAAAAATTCAAAATTCGAGTATCGAAAATCGAAACCGCGAGAAATCACAAAACCGAAATGTAAAAAATTTTTGAAACCTAGATTTCAAAAATTGAAAAATTCAAGAATCAAAACAGAAAAAACAATATATCGAAAGTCGAAAAATCGAGAATCTTAATTTCAAAAAGTCCAAAAATTGGAAAAACTGAAAAATTGCGAATCGAAATTACACAATTTAAAATTCGAATGTCGACAAATAGAAAATTCGATGAATCAAATACACGAAAAAAAGAAAATCCGGAAAAACGAAAATCGAAAAAGCAAAAATCGAGATTTCAAAAATCCAAAAGTCCAAGAATCAAACTGTCGAAAAGTCGAAAAGTGGACAAATAGAAAAATCGCAAAATCGAAAGTACAAAAACTGAAAATTCGAATATCGACAAATTGAAAATTCCATGAATTAAAAATTGTAAAAATCGAAAATTAAAAAACGAACATTTGAAAAATCGGAATGTCAAGAAATTTAAAAATGGAGAATTTGATAAAGCGAAAAGTAAAAAATTAAAAGTACTTCTTTCGAAAAATGAACAAATCGATAATTCGAAAAATCGGGAACACGAGAAATCAAAAAATCGAAAAACTGAAGAATGGAATTAATTATTCGAGAAATAGAAAAGTAAGAAATTGAGAAGTATAAAAACTGAAGAATCTAGAAATTGAAAAATCGAAAATTCAAAAAATCAAAGATCAAAAAGTAGAAAAATTGAAAAATCGTAGTTTGAAAGTCGGATAATCAAAAATTCTATAATCGATTGATCGAAAATTCCATTTAATTAAATATTGTCAGAATCGAAAATTGAAAAATCAATGGAAAAACCGAAAATCGAAAATTCGAAAAAATTGAAAAATCATCTGGAAAGTCAAAAAATCGAAAATGGAAAAATCGAAAAGCAAAAGATTGTAATTCTAATATCGACAAATCGAAAAATCGAGAATTCGAGGATTCAAAACGTTGAAAAACCAAAAATCTGAAGAATTGGAAGAAATGGAATTGGAAATTCGAGAAATCGGAAATTAAAAAAAATTAAATCTAACTGAAAAATCTAAAATTGTGAAAATCAAACATTGAAAAGTAGAAAAATTAAAATTTAAGTATCGAAAATCGAAACCTTAAAACTGAAGAATGGAAAAAGTAAAAATTCAAAAAATCAAAATCGAAAATTTGTAAAATCAAAGAATTGAAAAACTGAAAACTCGATAAAATGGAACAAATTGAAAATACGAATATCGAAAAATTCATAATTCGATGAATCGAATATACGAAAAAAGGAAAATCCGAACATCGAAAACCCGAAAATTCGAAAATCGAAAAAGCGAACTCAAAA